TATATTTTAAAAAAGTACATGTATGACAAAAATAAGTAATATTTTAAAGCCATTGTTCAACATCCTCTTCAAAATTTTTGTATTTACTGAACTAAGATTCTTATCTCTGAAAGCTGCTTTCCTTATCATAGCACTTTGGAAAAGTGAGAAAAAATTGAGCCTCTAATAATTGAAGAGCTCTTCTTAAGATTCACAAGATATGCAGTCTTCATAAACCCTGGTCTCTCCTTTGCCCTGTAGTATCAGAATTTCATGTTCAAGTGAAGAAGGGAAAAAATAAGGTGAAAGTTCTCATGCCCTAAGCCAAACACCATAAATAGGTTCAAATCCCATCATTTATTTTATATTGGGAAAGTGATAAGAATATATAGAGGACCAAAAGTGAAAAAGAAAAAAAAAAAAAAAGCAAATAAGCTTTTCATTTCCTTCCAGCCACATGGAATAAGCTTACCAATCTCCAAGATATGACATTCAGGTGGACAGTTCCCACCACTAAAGCCAACATAACCCTCCTTTCCTTTCTTCCTTCCTTAGAAGCAGGGTTTATGCCTTTTCATTGTCCTGACCTTCACCTACCAAAATTTTGGACACCTAATAAAGTAGAGTAAAATGAAAAAAAAAAAAGTCTGTGATAACAGCAGGCTGAATTTAGAAAGAAGATTTTTTTAAGACATTCTCATTAAGATTTCCAGCCAGGAAAAGACAAATCATCCAATATCAGCCAAAAGGAACCTCAGTGATCATCTGAGCTACGTATTAATTTACAGACAGGGTAGCTATTTGAAACAGTATAAATTACAATTATAGACAAATATATAGAAATGAAGCTCTATCACCTTCTAACAGTAAGAGTTCCTGCCAACTAAATTTTCATGAAAATTAGATTTATTTATAATTTATGTTTATTTTTATATAAAAAAGAATATGCTCCAGTTCTTGGGATTATCTTATATTTTAGAGGGGATTGCAAAGAAGCACCCTACTAGCTACCCCCATCGAAGTCTCTGACATCTTATCAAAAGTTTCTATGAAGATAAAAACCTACAATAACATTAAAAATTAAGATAAATGATTATCAAAATCAAGGGGAAAGCTAATACTTATCTTTAATGTGAATTAGAATTCATGACACACCTTGACTTGTTTGATGAAAACATAAACTACCTGACCAAAAAGTAGAAAGATGCTTTCAGCAAACCCACCTCCATGCCCAAGACTTGGAGCCTGCTCCTCTAGACCAAGCAGACACCCTCCTCACCCCTTAGAACTTGTCCTCCAAAAGAAGGTGACCCTCTGCAGCCATGGACCATTGTTTCTCCACACCAAAGAGTTCAGCCCTGGCCACCAACTGTCTCCATCCTTCTCCTACAAGCAGAGAAGACAGCACCTAACAGCAGGGCAGTGCATTATGGAGAGTCTAAGAGCCTCAGCACAAGCACTGCAGGACCAAAAGAACACTCACCGCAGGAAGAAGGGCACTTTCCACTTGGATGTCTAATTGACATTTCCATCTTAAAATACTCAAATTGAAACTTCTGATCTACCCACCCCCACCACTACCATCTCACCCTGAGCACCAAAACCAGTTATGACCAGTCTTCACCTACCTCAGTTAACAACTCTACCTATCTTGTTGCTCAACCCGATTTCTCTTTCACTTACACCTGCAAATCCTAGTCAGCAAATATCCTGGATCTACTTCAAAAATACACTAAGTCCTTTATCGCCTCTCACAAGAGTTCCCAAAGCCTCCTAACTAATCTTGCTGCTTGCTACTTGCTACATACCACTACCCCAGAATATTTTCACACAGCATCTAGAATAATCTTACTAAAACAAAGCTTCTGCCACAGCAAAAGAAACCATCAACAAAATGAAAAGGGAGCCCACTGTATGGGAGAACATATTTGCCCACGATACATCTGCTAAGCAGTTAATTTCCAAAATATATAAGGAACTTAAACAACTTAACAAAAGGAAAATAAATAATCCAATTAAAAATGGGCAATGGATCTAAATAGACATTTCTCCAAAGTGGATATACAGATGGCCAAGAGACATATGAAAACATGCTCAAAGTCATTAATCATCAGAGAGATGCAAATTAAAAGGACAATGAGAAGTCACCTCACACCCACCAGAATGGCTACCACCAATAAATCAACAAATGACAAATGCTGGCAAGGATGTGGAGAAAAGGGAACCCTAGTACACTGCTGGTGGGAATGCAGACTGGGGCAGCCACTGTGGAAAACAGTATGGAATTTCCTCACAAAACTAAAAATGTAACTGCCATATGATCCAGTGATCCCACTTCTAGGAATACATCCTAAGAATCCTAAAACACTGTTCACAAAGAATAGATACACTCCTATGTTCATAGCAGTACAATTTACAACAGCTAAGATCTGGAAACAGCCCAAGTGCCCATCAGTAGATGAGTGGATAAGGAAGATGTATGTTTACACCATGAAATACTATGCAGCTGTATAAAAGAAGGACCTCTTACACTTTAAGACAGCAATGGAGGGACCTGGAGAGTATTATACTAAGTGAAGTCAGCCAGACAGAGTAAGACAAGTATCACATGATCTCACTCGTGTGGAATCTAATGAACAAAATAAACTGATGGACAAAATAGATCCAGAGACAGAGACTTAAAAGCAAGGAACAGACTAATGAATCTCAGAGGGAAGGCAGGGAGAGTGAAGGAGAGATTAACCAGAGAACTTATATGCATAACCCAGGGACACAGACAATAATGTGTAGTGAAGGCCTGATGGGGAGCATGGACAGGTGAGGTCAATGGGGGGGAAAAGGGGAACATCTGTAACACTTACAACAATAAAATTGATTGATTAAAAAAACAATGACTCTCCTGCTGGGCTGTGGTGGTTCAGTGGTTGAGCATCCACATATGAACCAGGAGGTGATGGTTTGATTCCCAGTTAGGGCACATGCCTGGGTTGTGGGCTTGATCCCATGTGGGGAATGCAGGAAGCAGCCAATGATTCCCTCTCATCACTGATGTTTCTATCTCTCTCTCCCTCTCCCTTCCTCTCTGAAATCAATAAAGATCCTATCTAATAAAAGAATAATATGCAAACTGACCATCACTCCAACACACAAGATGGCTGCCCCCATGTGGTCAAAAATGACTACTCCCATGTGGACACAGGATGGCCAGCAGGGAAAGGGGACCCTCTGCAAGGGAGGGCAGTTGTGGGCGATCAAGCCTGCAGGGGAAGGCAGTTAGGGATGACCAGGTCAGCAGAAGAGGGAAGTTGGGGAAGACAGGGCCTGCAGGGGAGGGCAGTTAGGGGCAAACAGGTGGCAGGGGAACAGTTAGGAATTAATCAGGGTGGCAGGGAAGTGGTTAGAGGGTGATCAGGCTGGCAAGCAGAAGTGGTTAGGGGCAATCGGAAGGCAGGCAGGTGAGCAGTGGGAGCCAGCAGTCCAGGTAGGATCGGGCCTACACGGGCAGTCGGACATCCCTCTTGGGGTCCCAGATTTAGAGGGTATAGGCTGGGCTGAGGGACACCCCTTCCCAGTGCATGAATTTTGTGCACCAAGCCTCTAGTATATTAATAAAAACAACAATGACTCTCCAATAGCTTCCCATCTCACAGTAAAAATCAAAGTCTATATGTTGACTCACAGGCTCTGTGTTCTTGGCCACTCATTACTTCATTTGCTGCCACCCAGCTCCAGCCCCACTCACACCCTTGAAGATGTCTAGCATGACCCCATCTGACCATTCTGCATTTACTCTTGCTTTTACCAGAAGACCTTTCCCCCCGGTATTTCCTCGATTTCATCGCCTTAGGGAGCCCTTTCCTGACCGAGACAAATCAACACCTCAGTCTATGCCACAGTCCTCCTGCCCAATGTTATCTTTTTTATCTTCAATGTTTATTACCACCTGGTATATATGTTTGTTTTTTTATTGTCTCCCTCCTTCATCAAATACTGGTGTATGTTAGCACCCAGAAAACAAAAGTACTCAACAAATATTTGCTAAGTGAATACAATGATCAATCAGACTATCTTGGACTGCCTAAAATAATTTTTCTCCTAGGTAGTGAAATTATAAATTCTGTTCCAAGATATACTATGCTAGCATCATGTTTATCTTTCCGATCTCTAACAAGTGGCAGAAATATAGGTTAACAATCTGTATTTGCACCCAGAAAGTTTCTACTAAGTTTCCAAACATATAATTTTTATAATATATGCTTCAAAGGGAATGTTTATCCATGCCTGAATGAATGATGCAATAGTCAGCAGAACCTGTTAATATTAATAGCTCATTAAATGAAAGAGCAAATTTTAAATTCAAAGGCAATTTGGAAGGATCTATTATAATCCCATGCTTCATTTTTCTCAGCAATCAATCTCATAACAAGGTACATTACCATTTTAGTTACTATAAATTTGTTTATCATAATTAATACATGTAAAGAATCAATTTATATTTCAATAAATTATTCACAATGTTCTACTCACCAGGTAAAATAAATAAATAATTTCTGTGTGATGCATTTCCTGACTTAAGAAAAAAAAAAAAATCTATCTCCTGATTTCTCATGACTGATTTTTATTTTAACAAATCTGAAAAAGAACTCTCCATGTGGCTGATACATCTAGAAGTTGCATTTTATTTTAATATTAGATTCTCATTCAACAAAAATTGCATGCTAGTTTATTTTAAATAGCTACTTGTAAAACTGCATCAATTTTCCCACTGCCAACATGCTTCAGGTTACAATATTGTTCAAGATTAGAAGAAAATTTTTTGTTCCTTTTCCTGTTTGTTTTTTAAACTAATCCATTAAAAAAATTTTAAAGACAACTGACCTGTTCTTCCCCAAGGCTCAATTACTAATGGCCCTGCTTTACCACCGGAGCCTCGGAAAGGCTGTATTGTATTAGCACTGCAGAACAAGTTCATGGTAACCGGGTTAGCCAGAAACCCCCAGGCTCCTGAACTGCCACCTTACCTCAGACTCATCGGTAGATTCTTCAGGAGACACGGTTTCCTACAAAGCAAAAAGGGGGGGAATGGTCAGAATAATGACGAAAGAATAAAAAATATTTTCAAGGGAAAGGAGTTCTTATGTCCCCACCAATATCCGCCTGCCCTTTTTTTGGAGGTATCTGCAAATACAACTGAAACGCCTCCACATGGTTCAATGCTCGCAGACCTACTTCCCCACACCCTGCAGGACTGAGATGGTCACTCTGGGGCCTCCCAAAGCCACGGTTCCTGTTGACCTCCCTCAAGTGGTCAGGAGGATAGCATGTGCGCAAATGGAAGGCTTTTCCCTTGCTAAAAATGCAAATCGCTCTGGCAAAGCAGCCTTACTGATCTCAGAGAGGAAGAGGAAACTGCCATCTCAAAATATCTACAACCAATTTTTATACTGACACGTTCTTGTGCTATTAATTATCATGCTATTCATCTGGTGGAGTCAAAAGGATTGTCTTGCTTAAACAACATTTACAAAAGAATCCCCCTAGAGTGGTACCTATCAGACACTGGGCAAACAGGCTGTATAATTTATATCCACTCTTTAAACCATTAACCGGAAGACAAATTCTGCCATTTAACACAGTTTCCTTCTTGCGAGACAATGAATCTTGCTGCTCTGTGGAAAACAAAGCAAAAAGGGGAAAAATTGACTTGATCCTGCTAATCTCTCACCTGTCCGCGGAAAAGGAGAATCTGCTGATGCCACGCATCCTCAAAGAGGTCAGCAAAATGAAGATTTACTTAACGTACTTATAGATATCAATAGCAATAAAAGGCTACAACTAATATGCTGACACAGAATGTAAGCATTTTACAACAATCCACGCGATAAAGAAAGAACAAAAAAATTGAGGCAAGGGCATCATATTGTTTTACACATAACAATATTTTTTTTCAACAAAAAGAATGAACTTCCTTTTTAAGTTAGATGTACATATTACTCAATGCAAATCTGGTGCTTTAAAACATTTTCAGTTCATTCATGGAAAATCAGTAAGAACCAGGCAGGTGGCAGGTTGCCCGGGGACCAGTCTAGTGGACAATACAGCCTCAAAAATCATCTGCAAAATGGGAAGAAAGTTACCTGTAATTAAGAATGGTGTTGCAGGTACATTATTAGCCATGAAGAATGTGAGGCTTTTCTTTACACCCCAATGCAGCCCATTTAGTTTAACGTTATTCTCAGTATTGGGAAGTTCTAATTTGGAGCTACAATCTCTCCACAGTAACTTTTTATTCTTAACACCAATAAGACTCAGAAAAAATCCAATTACTTTACTACTCTCTGTCTGTTCTCCAGAGAGTTAATGATACATATCATTAAATTATTTCTACATTATTTTTCCTCTGTGCTAACCATTCCCCAGTTCCAGGTTTCAGTCCACTTACTATCTTTGCCCTTCACTCTTCTGAACATACCCTCACTTAATATTAATAGTCACCATCCTGAAATCTTTACTGAACCTCTATTATATATATATATATATATATATATATATATATATATATATATTCTCATAATGCTACATTTAGCTTTTCAGATAGCATCTTAAAGTTTCCTAACTACCCTTGCAGTACGAACGCTGAGGCTTAAGAGGTTGAACTTCTAAAAGTCCTTGAGTATTACATTTGTTAGCAAGAGCAGAAATAAGCTTTGACAACTGTGCCAGTGAACCAGACATAGGTTCCAATTTCCCAGCTCTAGAACTCTGAAACACCAGTGGACTACTCTTTTCAGAAAAATTACATCAAACTGGAGGATTTTTTTTTTTTCTTATGTGGACACCATTAAAATATGCACAAGGGGGAAAGCACAAATATCTCATTTACATTCTTGATTAAAACAGAGACCAAAGACCCCACTCAGCAATTTCAATCCAAAAGCTCTAAACCAGATTCCGCTCTTACCCGCCACCAGAACGCAGTCAGATCTCAGAAGCCTGAGTCTGTAGGGTTAGAGGCACTTCTGTGACTGCCAGTGCCCATCAGGAACATTTACTCCAGGTCTCTCTCCGACTTCTCCTGAGCACCAGCACAAACCTCGCAAACACAGCTCTGACCCCAAAAATTACATTTTTCCACAATCCTTCCTACCAAAGCAATGCATGAGTGATGTTGAGAATTAGCCTAGTCTGTTATTTCTTAGCTTCACTCATTCATCAAGCTCCAAGCTTAATGCTCTAGAGAAAGGAAAATAAGAAATGACATGAATGTCCTCAGTGAGGGATCCAAGAAACAAGGGTGAACCCTGAGAATGATTACAATTTAGAAAACCAGCGGTTTTCAAACATATTTTTTCTTTTAAATATATTTTTATTGATTTCAGAGAGGAAGGGAGAGGACAGAAACATTAATGATGAGAGAGAATCATGGATTGGCTGATTTCCGCACGCCCCCTACTGGGGATCGAGCCCTCAACCTGGGCATGTGCCCTTGACTAGAATCCAACCCTGGACCCTTCAGACCACAGGCTGATGCTCTACCCACTGAGCCAAACTGGCTGGGGCAGTTTTCAAAACATTTTTAAGTACACACCCTATCTTTCAAATAACCTAACTTCAAATCATGAAAATGTAAGTTATAAAATTGTGCTGTTCTCTAAATAAAATAAGCCAGATACAAAATGACAAATATTCTAGGATTACTCCTTTATGAGACGGTAAAATAGAGGTTAGCAAGGCTAGGGGAGGGAGTAATGAGGGTTATTATTTAACAGGTACAGAGCTTCAGTGTGAGGTGATGAAAAGTTGCTGGTGATGACCGAACAACAATGTGAATTTACTTAATGGCACTGCATCATACATTTAAAAATGGTTAAAGTGGTAAATACTAGTATAGTATGTATATTTTACCACAATAAAAAAAATAAAAACAAAAAACTGTGCTGTTCTGGTTATAGGAAAAATGCTGGTCTGGAAGTTACCCAGTGACACAAATGCAGAGCCAGACAAATTCTGGGCAGAAGGCTGAAAAGCTAAACTCGACAACTGTTTCACTTTACCTTTCTTTTGCAGACCAATCATCTATCTAAACCTAATGCTCTCCCTAGCTTGACATGCCACCCCTCCAATCTATTCATCAACTGCGTCTGAATACCTTTCAAAACACGCACCAGACTAGTCACTACTCTCGTCAAAAAATCCTTGGGACTCAGATTTCACATCCATGTCCCTCTCTCTCTCTCCCTTCCTCTCTGAAATCAATAATAATAAAAATATTTTAAAAAGAAATGACCCTGGAAATGGAAAGTGAAGGTATCTATCCCCAGGTTCCGGCCTTTCTCTGCTCTTTTTGTCTTATTTATGTTACTCTGGCAGCCTCTCTTGCCTGGATGAATACAACTATCGCAATCACTAATTTCTACCCTAAACTCCAGTGCCACATTGCCAGATTAAATGCTTTCTGTCATACTCACAAGAGTCCTGGAGAGTAAAATCCCCAATTTACAGACAAGGAAACTGAGGCAGTCAATTATTTACTGACTTGTTTTTTATTTTACACATGGGACACAACTATATGGGAGTATACAAGCTGATGAATGTGCCTCTGATAATGTGTAAATGCTCTACCAGAGGACAGAATTTCCCTAATTTCTAAAACATAGACAGAAGTATAAAAAAAAGAAACTCTCCAAATTGGCGAAGAAGTAGGTGGTCTGACTGATCAACTATTTCAACAGTCTAGGTTCCCCGCTGTAGGAAAGATGACTGGGTACCTGGGGAGCTGGCAGAGTAAGGAGTCTCATGTAGGGAAAGTAATCTACAACACATTTAAATTTATAACTTCCACAAGTTTCAAGTAAAGATAAAATAACAATCCCAATTCTATTGGACCTTACTTACAATTTGACATTTTCAATTCAGAAGGCTATTCTCCCTTCATAAATTCATTTACACATTTTGTAAAAACCTAATACTTGTAAAGCACTAGCCTTGTGTGAGTTAGACATGAGTAAGCTCTAAGTCCTTTATTCTTGAAGACTCAGCAATCTGTAGGAGAGACAAGACAAATACACAAACAACCAGACTACAAGCAGAATGTTATTCATAATTGAGGAATGGACAAATACCGTAGAGCATCTGTGATTATGAAGGTCAACCATAAATCATTTCGGTGCCAGATAAAAGGGCTGTTTAGAAGATTTCCAGCCAGAAATCTAACATACGTAGAGATTTGGGGGAACTACCTTTCCCAAACAAAGACATCCCAGTAACTCTTTAAAAATGTTTCATATCCAAAGAGTGACTTTTAGTTTGAGTCTATGAACTGTTTCATGTTTTGTTAACTCACTCAATAGAGATCTCACTATATTGGTTCTTCCTAAAATTAAAGGGGAGGACAAGCAATCACCAAAGAATACAAGGCTTAGAAAAGTTAAGAGGAAAGGTTTGGTTTTGTCTTCCTTATCCTGGAGGGCTGTTTATATTTACAATAAAAAAAAACCTTCCTTTGCCCCAACCTTTAAAACTCATCTCACTGCTTAAAGCATTCAGAAGAGAAAAACTATGTCAAGATTTTCTAAAAGGTTCAGAGTATCAAAACAGAACAATTAGCAAATTTATTTAACTCCACTTTTGAACCCTTTTAGCCTTCAAAAACACATATATTAAAGGCCTTACTATCCTAGCTGAGATTTTAATGGCTTCCTACTGTAAAATGTGGAAGCACAAACAAGCAGAGTGGGAAAAGTCTAACTATTTTTATTCTACAAAAGATAATTTATGGATTAAATATAGGTACAATTATTTGTTAGCTTTCTTTAAAAAAAAATAAACGGGATGACAATTTGTGAATGTTCGCTTCTTTCTGCTATTAATCATGAGATTGGGAATTAGATGACTGGAGATTTATTATAGATACAAGTCTGAGCAAGTAACTGAAGTTGTCTGGATTTCTATTCAATCCTTTAATAAGTATTGCATACCAGGCACTACTCTATGTGTCAGGCATACAGCAATGAACAAATCTTTGCCATCATGGAACTTACAACCTAATGGGGATAATATACCAAAATGAATATAGAAACATAGAGAATATACAGAAAAAAATAGACGAGCACAAAGAAAAGTATAATGCAGGAAAGAGGTTGCAAAGAATGGTCAGAGAACACTTGGGACCAGCCGGTATGGCACAGTGGTTGAGGGTCGACCCATCAATCAAGAAGTCACTGGTTGATTCCTGGTCAGGGAAATACCTGGGTTGCTGGTTTGATCCCTGTTCAGAGGGCACATGGGAGGCAACAGATCAATGTTTCTCTCTCACATCCATGTCTCCCCCCCCCCCTCTCTCTCCCTTCCTCTCTGAAATCAATTTAAAAATATATATATATATATATATATTTTTTTTTAAATGACCCTGGAAATGAAAAGTGAAGGTATATCCCCAGGTTCCGGCCTTTCTCTGCTCTTTTTGTCTTATTTATGTTACTCTGGCAGCCTCTAGTGCTTGTATGAATACAACTATCGCAATCACTAATTTCTACCCTAAACTCCAGCGCCACATGGCCATGTGCTAACTGGACATTGCCATCTGACATTCTGCCAGCAACAAATAACTCCTCTCCTAACTGTATGCCCAACTTTTACGAAGCGCTTTCACTTTGTGTACCGATTCATTCCAGCTTAAACCACCTTCCAAAGACGGGCACCGTATTATCTCTATCATAGATCTCTGTCTTTAAATACTGTATATTTAAAAGTTAAATAACTAGCCTAAAGTCACATATGAAGACAGAGAACCAGCACAGGAGCCTCATCATTTTTGCTTTAGAGCAGATGCACTGAGCCGCCCCTGTACGCCACAGGGACTTACTTAGCTTTGCATCTAAATGCAATAGATGCGAAACGAAACATCATGTATTACTTTCTCCCAGCCCTCCTGCAAACCGCCCACACGGTCCTGCTTCGAGTGGAAAGGAATTTAAACTTCAAATACCTCCTAGATCCAAAACTCAAGTCATCTATTTCACCTCCCACGGGCAGTCAGTCAGTCCCTGTCTTAGCCCAGGCTGCCTGCAAGCCCCTGAGCACAGGCCAGGGGAGCAGGAGCAGAGCCCATCAAAAGAGCCAGATCGCAAACGCTGGGGGTGTGTCGGTGGCTGTGCCAGGTGCCCTCCAAGAACAGGCATCCCACCCCCTCTCTGTCCCCCAATGGCCTTCCGGGGCCCGCCCGGCCGGCCCGGCCGGCCCGGCCCTCCCGCAGCCCCGCACCGCCACGCGCTCCGGTCCAGGGCCGGCCACTCCACCTTCGTTTCCCCTCCCCTCCTTGCCCAGCAGTTGTAGCCTTTACCTGTGCCTCCGCTTCCGCCATGGTGCAGCTGGGGAGTCATGTGACATACCCGGAAATGAGAGAGAAACCAGACGCTGAGGCCCAGGGCCTGCTGGGAAATGTAGTTTTAGCAGCACCTGAGCCTGGATATCTTTTCTATTGGATGAGGTTATTAGGCCTTTGTTTCTGCTTCCAACTCTCCAAGCTCAATGAAGTTATGCTTTGGAAGTCTCGACTGCCAAATGCCACTTAGTCAAAAAGTGTTCTTTCCATTTAAAAAACGCACATTAAGTGAATATAAAGCAGTTTTTGCAGAGGAGACCCAAAGAATAGTTTATACTCCAAAAATATTTATTTGGATTCTACTGCTTGTTGCTTTAAGTTGACATTTTCTTCTGAGGGTTCTTCCGGAATCTGGACATTGACATTCAAAACCTCTGTTGTTTAAATTATTTATTAAACTTATCTTGAATATATTCCATAGATAAATATTTGAAATGAAGTAAAAATTTATCCTTGGCAAAATCTGTAAAACAACTGTATTACTTACAACTTTTAGAATGAATGATTCCCTCTCCATGTTTGCAAGCATTTTAAATTCTCCTTCCTAATCCTCAGGAATTTGTAGTATCTTATCCAAAGACAGGAATTTTATTCTTTACACTCATCTCCTGCAGCTGGTAACTAACAGAGGGCATCACATATGGCAGCTTGTGGTGTGTGCCCAGGACCCTTTTGGGAATTCCAATAAAAATCTCAGAAAGTTATTATATGAATATCAACAAACAGATTCTAAAGTTTATATAGAGAGGCAAAATAGCCAACACAATAATAAATAACCAGAATTGTCAATACAATATTAAAAGAACAGAACAAAGCTGTTGGGTTGATGCTACTCAACTCCAAGATTTACTATAAAACTATGGTAATCAAGACAGTGGGTATTAAAAAAAAAAAGCAGTGGGTATTGGTGAGAGATCAGACAAATAGATAAATGGAACCAAATAAGACATGATCCACAAAGAAATCATTGTTAAGCTGAATTTCATTAAAATAAAATTAAAGCCGAGACCGGTTTGGCTCAATGGATAGAGCGTCGGCTTGGGGACTAAAAGGTCCCAGGTTCGATTCCGGTCAAGGGCATGTACCTTGGTTGCGGGCATTTCCCCAATGGGGGGTGTGCAAGAGGCAGCTGGTCGATGACTCTCTCTCATCGATGTTTCTAGCTCTCTATCTCTCTCCCTTCCTCTCTGTACAAAATCAATAAAAATATATTTTAAAAAAATAATAATAAATAAAATTAAAAAATCTCAGCTCTGTGAAAAATAATGTTAGGAGAATTAGAAGACAAATCAGAGACTGGCAGAAAATATTTGCAAGTGACACATTTGATAAAGAAGTTACCCAAAATATATACAGAACTCTTAATAAAACATACAACTTAATTAAAAATTGGGCCAAAAACATGATACCGTTTACATTAGCACCTCACTGGTTTGTTTTTGTTTTTGTTTTAGATTTACATCTAGCTAAACAGACATCTAACTAACATAGATATAAATGGCAAATAAGCATATGAAAAAGACTCTCCACATCATAATGCAAATTAAAACAACCGTGAGATACCACTACACACTGATAAGAATGTCCAAAATCTGGAACTCTAAACAATAGCAAATGCTGGTTAGGAGGTAGAACAATAGGAACCCTCATTTATTGCCAGTGGGGGTGAAAAATCATACTTTGGGATTATTTTTTTCATATTATTTTCATATGAATATACAGGAGACTATCTATCTTTGAGTTTTAAACATAATTTGGACCATACTCTACAGTTCTATAGAACTCTTTTTTACTTAGTAGTATATAAAAAATGTAATTTCACACAAGTAAAATATAGAGAGAGCTACATAATTGTTCTCATATTGTCTTTTTCTAAATTGACTACCGTATTTTCCAGTGTATAAGACGACTTTTGAAATGAAAAAAAGCCTGCTCAGATTGGCCAGAGTCAGAGAGGCAGTCTATTAAAAAAAGAACTGGTGTTGCCTCGGAAGTGGGGGGTAGTCTTATACAGCGAATAGGCCTAAACCTATGTTTTAACTGTAAAATTAGGGGGGTCGTCTTATACACCGGAAAATATGGTATAATTTATGCACCCAATCCCCCACTTTTGAATATTACTTTCAATATTTTGTTATTATAAACCGCATGTGATTAACATTATATCTTTGCACACTTGTACAATTTATAGATACTTCCTTAGGAAAATGTGCAGAAATGGAATGGATTGGTCAGAGGACCTTTGAAGTTGTTATAAGAAGAGTTCTTTGGAAACAGCAAGAATATAATAATGTGCTCGTTTTGAATACTGTAGTAAATCTTTTATTCATCCTTCAGATTCCTATTATATGTCTTACTAACAAATATTTCAAAGGCCATCTGTTTGAGGTTTCCCCAGCATAGACTGCTTATGTGCAATCCATTTACTGAACTTCTTTCATATTTTTGACAGGAAAGCACAAAACTAATTTTTTTAACTTAAAGCATGAATTCAATCTGCTCTGAATCCAGGTGTTTGGCTGTGCCAAGAAAATATGTTATTTTATAGAGAATCTTTCATTTTCAATCAAAATTTTGAAACAAAATACTTAAACACTTCCTGCCATTGGATCCAAATATCATTTGTGAAACAAGGTCCATTTTTCAGCAAGAATCCAATTTCAAGGTATGTTTGTGGAACAACAGCCTTTCTCTTCTGTATATATGAGTCCTTCAAACACAAAGACACAAACATTGAAAAAGAAGAAGAGGAGAAAAGTAGAGGAGGAGGAAGGGTGGGCTACACTACATGAAAGCAATGGCAGTTGTCTTCCAAATTTTAACATATCCAGTATGTTAATTAATTGAAATCTAATGTTCACTTTTTTTTTGTATAAACAGCAATGTAAATGTTTTCTTAGCCAAAAAATATTTAATCCACAGTACTATTGAATCTGTACATGTTAGGAAAGAGAAAACATAACTGTTGCAGTTCCAGTAATTATAGAAAATAAAAAGATCATGATGTCAGTTTAATAGTTTTGTCGTTTTCATGAAAAAAACTACACTTAATCATCACAAGATTTTGTTTCTTGTGTTTCTGTTGGACTCCAGTCACTTATTAAAATGTGACAACCTAGGAGCTTAGTCACCATTTAGGGTCTTTTGATTGTTGCTTTAGCTATGACTAGGGAAGCCTTACCCCTTAAAAAAAAAAAAAAAAAAAAAAAGAGCATATTAAAAAGACTGCAAGAAAGAAGGAAGTGAATGCATAAGATAACACATACTAAAAGCCAGAGTACTCAAAAGTCAGACTTGAATCTTTAAGTAATCGTTAGATTTCCACATGATGTTTCTAATTGGTTCGACAGCTAGTGGGGAAATACAGCTGCCCAGTCCTCACCATACTTATGTAGCTGTCAAGAACTAAAGCCTGATGTCTCTAGATGATATATAACCAATTTCTTCTTTGATATATAAATGCCAGAAAAGTTTTGGAGGAACCCCTCTATTCTCCAACAACTTTCTTCTAAGCCCATCTGGAATGATCTTCCTTTCACGCCTGCCCCCCATTATGATTCTTAGAGATCCTAATTCAAACTGGAATTTTTCTGGCCTGTTTTCAGCTCTTACTCTATCTCTTTCTAGAGACACTGCTCCCCTCCTCCCCCCCCCCCGCCCTGCCCCCACTATCTCCTTCTCTTTATTGTGCTTCAATGCCTGTCAATGGTGCAGGTGAGTGGAAAGATCTTTAAAATAAGATAGCCATGGAGAGGAAAACCATGCCCTACCATCAGTGGATATGGATGATGGAACTTTCTCTCTGCCAAGGCTGACCAAGGTTTGTTTTTTTGTTTTTTTCCATCCTACGTCTGTTTGTTGCAGTTGAGAAGGCCTAATGCTGTTTAAAAACCAGTTTTTAATATTTATATGTAGTGGCAGATATTTATTCTATTGTTTGTCCAGCACCCTTTCTGAGGATGTGTCTTCCTACTATCCCATGCTCCTGGCCACCACCCACATGGTGCCTACAAAGTCCTTCCACTTACTGGATACAGTTTGTTGATCTTCATTCCTTCCCTGGGATTTTTGGAATTAAGACTGAGAGAGGTCAAAAGTATTCCATGGTTCTGTAAGATATCCCATGAACTTGTTGTCGTTGAAACAAGTTCAAATTAGTTTTCTGATGTTTACAGTTTTAAAAAGCCCTCTTTTCCATCTCCATTCCCATTCCCCTTTGTTCACTGCCTTTCCCTCTGGCTATCCCCGCACTGTTGTCTGTATCTATGCATTATAATCACTGAGTGGCCAGATTATTATGATCTCTGAACACATAATAAAATTAGTGTGTGTGTATGTGTGTGTGTGTGTGTGTGTGTGTGTGTGTGTGTGTATTAGAGGCCCGGTGTATGAATTCGTGCATGGGTGGGGTCCAGCCAGCCTGACCAGGGGGAGGGGACATGAGCGGTTGGCCAGCCTGCCTGTTGATTGAGCTCCTGGCCAAGGGGATAATTTGCATATTAGCCTTGTATCATATAAGATATACACTGAGTGGCCAGATTATTATGCATTCAGAGATCATAATAATCTGACCACTCAGTGTATATGTTTTTTTTTTTTTTTTTTTTTTTTTTTTTTGCTAATCCCTTCACCTTCTTTCATCCAGTTTCCCAACCCCCTCCTCTCTGACAGCAGACAGCTTGGGGGCAATGGGCATATGATGTTTTACTGAATTGTACACTTGGTTTTGAGAACCAATGCTATCCCAATAAAGTAAATTTTTTTTAAAGTAAACAATTTTTTAAAAGCCCTAACTCATTTAACTGATATGTACACATACACACACACACACACACACACACACACACACACACGAGCACACACATTGGCTTTCTCCTCCAAGCTGTCTTTGTGCCATATCTTCCCTGTTTTTTGCTTTGGCAAGTGGGTTTTGGTAACCAGGGGAATGGTCTTGATTCCCATCTCAAGGGGATTAAGGA